CACGCTCTGAAACACAGCAAACACCTCCTGCATGATGTTTTTGGTTTGAATTATTTATTTGTTATGTTTACAGGACTGACGCAAGTCAAAGCTGGCGCGCAATCAAGCTTGATATCAATTATTAACTATTTGACGGTGTTTTTTTTTTCTTCTCCTACAGTGTTAGATATTAAATATTAATCATATGGAGTCATTTTTTTTTTAACCGCCGGATATTTAACTGGTAACACATTATCCCTACAAATACAAGCTGTTTTTACATAAAGCAAAGGAATACGCAAAAGAACATCACACTTCATTACGTGGGGGTGACGTAACGTGACGTAAAGGCTCATGTCCCAGTATAAAAGCTCCGGCAGCAGCCGGCGTCTCCCTGTAGGCGAACCCACCTGCGTGTGTCCATCAGCCTCACTCTTCATCATCCTCCTCCTCCTCCTCCTCCTCTTCATCACCAGGATGGCTCAGCTGACCCCCGCCGGAGTCGTTTTCTGCGCTTTCTGCTTAATCACTCAGGTATGACTTCATATCTTGATTATTCCACACATATTTCATCTTGAATTTAAGTTTTAGACTCTTTTAAAATACTGTAGATGTTGAGCTTTAATGCGTCCAAACTACAGGAGAATGAACATACATAAGATACGTCTGCTTTAAAATGAAAGGAAAGTGCAGAGTGTTGGCGTTTTGTTAACAGCTCGAGTGCCGTGCTTGCGTGGTTTTTGGAGAATGAATCATTAAAAGAGTATCGATGTCTGTCCCGGGGCTTGAGTTTCTGTGAGACCGTTCTGTGTCAGAAACCCGATCCGGGTGAGAACCCGAAACACCGGCGCGTCTCGGCGCTCTCCGGACCTTCAGATACGGTTATGTACAGTAAGAGTTATATGCACCTGATGCAGAAACCATGGACAACTTCCATGCGTAATTTTGGAGAGCTGATGAAGATATAGGCTCTTAAATCTTTAGTTTCTTATGATTTCTAAGAACTTGTTGCTAACGTTCCCAAGGAATTATGAAAATGTTATTTCTGAATGTTCAAAATGTTTAGTTTTTTAATGTTTTTAAACCATTTTTTTCTACTACATACAAACGTTTAGGGAACATTCCATTTGATAATTTTGCAAACATTATGGGAACTTCATTTTTAAATGTTCTGGACGTTCTGAAACAAGAACCGACATTTAAAAAACGTTTCAGAAAAACGTTCCATTGATGATGTATAAATCACGTTTTTGTGTATGAACGAACATTATGTTAATGCTACTGACTTTGAGGGAACTTTGCCAGAAGGTTAGCCAAAGTTCTGAGCAGGGTTATTATAGTTAATTAAAACCAAATCCATAAAAACATTTTTGCTTTAAATACAATAAACGTTACCTAAAATGAAATAAAATATATAAACCTAGGCAGCATTTCTCATTTTCTTTTGAAAACCAAAAAAATAGGAACTTGAAGTAAAACTGAAATAAAAATGAAAAACTATAGGCCTATAGACATATTAAAAATAGTGCTGTCGAACGATTAATCGCGATTAATCGTGTCCAAATAAAAGTTTTTGTTTACATTATATATATGTGTGTACGGTGTATATTTATTATGTATATATATATAAATACACACACATACAGCATATATTTAAGAAAGATATGTTATATTTCTAGATTAAATATATTTATATATAATATAAATGATATACATATAAATATATACATGTAAATATTTTTTTAATATATGCTGTATGTGTGTGTATTTATATATATATATATATAATAAATATACACAGTACACACATATATATAATGTAAACAAAAACTTTTATTTTGGACGCGATTAATCGTTCGACAGCACTAATTAAAAAATGAATAAAAACGGAAAAAAAATAAACGAACAAAAAAACTATTCCAAATATTAATGAAAATTAGGCCTATAAAAGGTATATCAATGATATTAAAAGATGTTTCCATGCAAACGCACCTGCGCAGGTATTTTAAGAGGTCCAGTTATGCATTAAAAGTAACATGCAAATGTGGGCGATTAAAAAACAAGTCCTTTCGTTTGCATAAACTCGTGATAATCGCGCTTTTCTCTCCTCAGGTTTTATCTCAGAGCACAATCTCCCCGAGCAAATCCACCGCGGGAAACCAGACCGTGAACGCGAACGACACCGTGGCGACGAACGCGTACGGCGGACCGGCGAACGCCACCACCGCTCCGGCGGGAACCGGCGTCCAGACGCAGGCCAGCGCGCTCAACGTGCTCATCCCCGTCGCCATGGCAACCGGCCTCCTGCATCGCTGGTGTTGAGGCGGATCCGGAGCAGGTGTTCCACTGAGGCCAGTTCTGCCACCTTCCCTCCTCCTGCACCACAACATCTCCACGAACACTCCCGCACGGAGCTCCACAAGGTCTGGTCATTTCACCAGAGCGCTCGGGAGAACGCGTTAGCCCTGAAGTAGAAGCACGAACGAATGGATGATGGCATTTCAAACGGCACCTGGCTTCCGTTCCCACAACCAAACATCCTCTTCCCGTTTCTCGCATTGCGGAGCCTGTAGAGTGATATGGAAGGTGTTCCAACATTGAACGATCTTAGCTTGACGGCCGGATTCTGATGCAAACTAAACTAAACTAAACGGGCTCCTTCATTGGCACTGAGTTTCGTCACTTGGTATTTTATACCAGTTTCAGGTGCATTTTCATCTGTATTTGCCCACTTTAGTTATGAATCAAACTGTTAGTCGTTCATTGGCATGAGATGGACACTTTGTAATATTGTTTTTCTCTTGCATAGTTTATATTTTGTACAAATCGAAATGTGTGTAAGCTGGAAAACACCAGTAGCTACATGAGAATAAACAATGTACAGTTGAATGAAACACGCTTGGCTCGTTTGATGATGAGGAGTATGCAAAGACTTCCACTGTAAATGCATGTTGAAATTCAAAAGTTGCAAATATTATTAGAGGACATTTGACAAGAAATCAGATGCACTTTATGTGTTTCTACTTCAAAAATGTAGAACGTTTAATTCGGCGTGTTACTTAATAGTGCAACGTACTAGAAATGTCTTTATTGTTTATGTGGGGTGCTGCTTAATTTACATTTAATCTGGGATAGTCCTGTAAATTTGCTGCTTTTAAATCAAACTCAGCATGCATACAAGTCTAGAGAACGGTGCGAACGATTTTCTGTTGTTTAGCTTTAAATGTAGCGATTATTTTTCCATTTATGTATTCGATTCACTTTTAATATAAAACAGTCAAACGTTTGCTTGTGAAACTTTAATTGTAGTTTAACACGCAGCATTTAAAGAAACAAACCCGTTTTACTTTCCTAATATGTGATGTACTTCAACGTGAAACCGATTACTCAGAGTTTTAAACGATGAAAGTGTCTCTATCTGCAATTTTGCAACGTGGAACGTAAGAGTGGGCGCGGGAAAAAAAGAGCGGGAGTGGCCATTTGTAACTTGAACATGCAAGACACTTCCCTTATTAGCCACCATATGTAAATAACCAAGAAAAATAAAGTGCGGTAAACGGTAAATTTGCGCTACAAACTGGTGTATTTACAGTTATGATGGCAAATTAAAATAATATCATAACCAGTTTGCAATTCATAACGGACTGTTTTTGCATCGCTAAAAATAACTTTTTTTTATTACTTGAAAGAACATATAAAATACCAAGTAAACAACACAAATCTTAATACAATTCCAAGAAGTCCGAATAGCAGCATAACAAATATATACAGTATATAAGCCTTTATTAGCATTCAACGTCCCCGTTGTAGAAAATAATATATACTTTAATCACACCTTAAAAGGAAATCAATGCCTTCAAAAGAATTTTAAAAAATTAGAAGAAAAGCCAAACCATGAAGAATGTTTATTCCTAAGGAAGGCTTGGAGCCGGACTTGACACCAGACGTCTCGCACATTCACGGCTGCAGTTACGTTACAAATAAGGTGGATGTTATTCAGGTGAGAGGACCTGATGACGTCAGAGGAAGAGGAAGGTGTTTTAGAGACGGGTTATTAAGACTAAGAGCTTTTTCTTTAA